CGTGTTCCGCCTAAAACCTTAACCACCGTTCCAGAGAGGTGGTCTTCAATAAACAACTAAAATAAAAAACTAATAATTTATAAATAACCATACCAATTACTGTAAATTAGAAAATGTTTAGACGTTAGGCCATAAACTAATAAATAATATTAACCATAAATTTCAGATCACTGGCTTAATTTCCTCTTCTGTCCTCCTGCTCTTTTTTCTTCATCACCCCAGAAATCAGACAGTGTACTTCTCTCTATTCTTTCTCTCCTTTCAACATTATGTGGACGGGAGCGTCCGGAACCCCACAAACAGTACAGTCTGCGGAGGCAGATTTGCCTATTATATTTGTGAAGGTTTTAAAACTACCGTATCTGGTCAGAAACTGCGTCAAGAAGTAGTATAGTTTGCTAAACTTACATTCCCACCACGGTCTCAAATCGGAAATAAGCTCCTTCGTTCACCTTGCCTTTCCACTATCATTTGACCATTCTCTCTGCCTCTCTACTACCGTTCTTTCTCTCTCACTCTCATCTATATTTACATCCATCCTCCTCGCATATATTCTTGCTCGCTCTTTACACAAAACAATCGATATCACCGCTCCAATGACATATAGAGCCTCATTTGAAACTGTCCTATATACGCTAGATGCCCTGAGGAGCATTTGCCTTTGCTAAGTCTCCATCAGCTTAGAGTATTTCGCAGTGTTTAGTACACTACACCACATAGGGGCAGCGTGGGTTACCACCGACTGGAAAACTCCATTTAGCACCTTTCTTTTAGTGCTTCCTGGACCTCAAATGTTTGGCATCAGCCGTATTAACGCCTCCAGATTTCGGTTCCCGTTCTCTACTATCTTTTGGATGTGTGCTCCAAACCTTAGACCTTTCGACAACAAGACTCCCAGAAAAAAAATGCCTTTAATCACACAGAAGTCTAAAAGATCTGGTGGTTTATTTAAATATTAGGCCAATAAGTACAACAACATGTACATGTATATCTCAACATCTCTTGTAAATGTATTTTTTAACGGTAGGTATTACGTGTTCTTATCTATACAATTCAGTTTCACCAAAAACTCAACGAAGATGATTATAAATGCCGTATGTAGTTTCGTAACAATTTGCAGGATTTATGTAACCTACATCATTTATGCGATCTACGTTTTATTAAACAAATTAGATTTTCCGATGAGACTTAAAATAAAATTGTCTAAATGGTTTAGTCAATCATCAAAACTGCATACATAAACACCATCATAAAATCAATGTTCAGGCGGGAATAATTAATAACGTAATTATTGCTCTCTATTTTTTGAAAAAAATCTTATAGGAAAAGTTATCTGCAATGTTTACGGACATAAGGTATACCATTCCTTGTCAATATATTTTTAAACGCCAACAATCCTAACTTTCTAGATGATAGTATCTATTTAGTTACAAGATGGTACACTTTCGCATTATGCACGTGATTTTCGCGAGTTTAAAACCAGTTTTTTTTCAGTGGTGGATTGGTAGACGAAGACCAAAAAGAGTGACTTCAAAATCTCCTGATCTTACACCTCTAGATTATTTAAAATCAAAACCTACAGGGGTTGGAAGACCGAATTAGAGACGAGATAGAATTGCTCCGGAAGTTATTCGTAATCTGCAAGAAGATTGTTTTCGTCAATTTGCTGATTGTCAAGATACAAGTGGATGGTATTTTTAGCATTTTTAGCATGAGTCAGTTAACTATATTACTCCTAAAAGCACTATTAAAAATTGCCCTTTGCCAATGAGGTAATAAAAACCCACATTTAAAAAAAAAATATTTAAAAAATCGTCATTTAAAATTAAAAATCGACCTCTTTCAGGATTTTGCATATATAATAAATTGTTTGCAAAATAATAAATTTGTTTCAATATTTAGCCGCGCTATATATGGAGCCAATATTTCGAAAAATGATATTTGCTTTCTCCGAAATATTGACTTTATTTATGCCGTCGATACAAAGGTAGATCCATTGTTAGCGGAGAGCTTATTCTCTATCAGTTTAAGTTCCGAAGACTGTAATAGTAAGATCTACAATAAGTCAATTAAAAACTGATAAAAATGAAAAATTGTTCTGAAGATGACTCCACAAGGGAGCTTTTAAGTGAGTTTGTAATGAAATAATGTGGACTTATTTTGGACTTATGGTGAATTGGGGAATTTAAAATACTATATAAGAATAGATTTACCAATAGGTATATGGAAAGTTGTTACTTTTCAAATTTTAAAGGAAAACCGATTGCAGGGTTTTTAAAGATGTAGAAGATGTAAATAGCGATTAACGGTAACCTTTGTCTTTCAAATCTGGGAAAGTTTATTTATATATATATATATATATATATATATATATATATATATATATATATATATAGAAATAATAATAGATATACAAGAAATTAACATAGTAATATTATGATGTTTAAGTGAAGGCATTAAGTTAGATGAAGTCAGTCAGTCATTAAAAATTAAATTAAGATTCATCAAGAAAGTTAGTTCAAGACAGTTATAATTAAATTAAGTTAGAAGAAAGGATTAATTTAGAAGAATTCATTAAGTCAGATACAGTTGGAGAGTATGAAAGTAAATTAATTCAATATAGATAGTTCAATACAGGAGTATAGTATATGATATGGAAATTAAAAGAATTTTAAATTATAATATCTATATGCAATTTCACAAATACAAGGATAACCGAGGCTGATTAAGAAGATATTTAGTGGTGATTATAACTTTGATTTTGGAAAACTTTAGGCATTCAGTGATAGAAAGGTACCAAATTTTGTTAATACAATTTAATAATTGTAAGAATTTTAAATTTTAGATAGGTTGTTTTAAATTTATATTGTTTATATTAGATATATATATGTCTGTTTCATTATAGTTATAATAAAGAGAATTTAAAAAGTACTTACAAAATAATTCTTTGAGAATCGCGATAAAAACCCTATACTCATATATTTTATTTTAAACACTTATTGCTCATATACAAACAAAACATCATAACAATATATATATATATATATATATATATATATATATATATATATATATATATATATATATATTGGGTCTTGTAGTCAATACTGGCCTTTAAGTAAAACTCTTTAAGGTTTGCTAAGCTTTCGAGTTTATTTAACTCTTTTTCAAAACATACCTCATAACTGTATATACAGTGCGTTAAGTTTTTGATTAGGTATTGCACACTATACGGAGCGCTAAAATCGGCAACGTTGCAAATGTTCGTTCTCCAACCAGAGACTATCTGCACCGACAGAAAATCATTTTAGTTTAGTAACTCACAACAACGTTTGGGATGTACTTCTCTGTCGTCCGATCTCGTTTCATTACGTATAGCCGATTTTAATAGTAGGAAATTCGATAAAAATGCACTGACCTAATCGGTGCATTGTTATCGATTTTTATTAATGTGAAAATTTTTTGTGGTTGAATTAAAAATAGAAGCGTATTTCTTTAAAAAGATAAAATAAAAAATATACTCTTATTGAAAATTAATATATTATTCCCAATAAAATAAAAAATATTTCTTTATGACCTACAGAAATGGTTCAAATAGTTGACCTTCGACGGCTGAACAGTACCCCAATCTGTCATAAAAACTTCTGCGAACAGATGAAAGAGTTTCTGCTGTAACAGAATTGGAGACTTCTCTTATTCGATTTTTTAATTCATCCAAATTTTGGACTCTAGCCTCAGGATGATCGTAGATAATGCTTTTTAAATGTCCCCAAAAAAAGAAGTCGATGGGTGTAAGATCTGGAGATTGCGCAGGCCACTTAATATCGCCTGTTCCAGTGATAAATCGATTCGGGAAAGTATTGTTTAAATACTCCCTAATAATTCGAGCGTTGTGAACTGAACAGCCGTCTTGATGAAACCAAACATTCTCCAGATTTACATCAGGAAGATTGAGAATAGCGGGAAGAACATGATTCTGTAACAAATCGAGGTATACTCTACTATTCAAGTTGCCCTCAATAAAAAATAGACCTATTATGTGATCTCCTAAAATGCCAGTCCAGACGTTAACTGTTTGAGGACGTTGAGTTCGGTAAACAACACTTCTGTGCTGGTTTTCCCGCGCCCAATACCTCGTAATGGAAGGATTGTGTCTCACTACTAACGAAACAGAAGATTCATCAGTGAATAAAATGTTTTTAATAAAATTTGGTTCACTCTTAGCCTTCGTTATTAGAGTTTCACAAAACTCCATTCTTCGAAAGTAATCATCTGGATAAGGCTGCTGCGTTTTCGAATATTTAAAATTCTTGTAACCGTGCTTTTTCCATACTTTCGTTACAGTAACATTGCTAACATCTAACTCTCTAGCAACGCTTCTACTTGAACGTGTTGAATCTACCTCGATTGTTGCACAAATTTGTGTATCCCGGTATTCTCTTTCCTCAAATTTTTCTGGTAACACTTCTTGAGCGTGACATTTTCTGCAATTTTTGAGGCAATAACAATTCTCAAAATTTTTAACAATATTATAAATTGATTGTACACAAGGAATTGGTCTACCCTCAAAAACACAGAGAATAAATCTACACACTGTTGCGCAGAATTGCCACTATAAAACCATTTTATTATTTGAGCTTTTTTCGCGGCCATATAAACAGACATGTTTACAAAAATAAATTAAAACTCTACGCTGTTATACCTTTAAACAACCACGGTATAATGACAATATGACAAATTTGCCGACGGGCGACGAGCAACGACGAGTCAACGAAGCATGTAGTGGCAAGTCGACGACGCGCAGTGTTGCCATTTATAGAGTGTATACCTAATCTAAAACTTAACGCACTGTATACCCTAACTGTATTATAAAATTAGCAAAATTACTTACCATTTGACATTATTAATTTTTATATGAAAATATATATATATATATATAAATATATATATATATATATATATATATATATATATATATATATATATATCTGAATACTTACCATCACCAGAAACTGGAGTATTTGTCTCGCTTTTCCATTTACCTTTTTTCTTTTTCTTTTCTTTACCTTTTCCCTTTTTTCCTTTCTTTTTTGGTTCAGGTGTTGGTTCTGGTAAAATTTCTTTTATAACTAAAACAATATCAAATGTTGTACTGAGCACAATTATGATTAATATCCTTACAATAAGGTATTCGTTATTTTTACTAAATAATAATATAAAACTAATTTACTATGTGGAGTGGCTATTACCACTGTTTTGATAAAGTCCATTTTTCGAGCTAGGAATTTGTATGTTCCCTTAAATTATTCTAATCCTTTAAAATCGGACTAGTGTCATAATAATTATAATGTGTATTACTTTAATTCTGTAATTTCTGGGATCATCTGACCTCGTTATGTGGCTAATTTCAAATACTATATAGACGTTTTTCACTAATGATAGTCCGATAGAACTGAAAACGTTCTGAAAATTTATAAATCCATTTTGGATACCTTTTAAAAATTTTAATAAATTTTATTCCATTTTACTCAAGAAATTTTTACTTTAAAAGTAAGTTTTTTATAACTATGGTATACAGCCAACCACTGGGATTTTCTCTTTTAAATTAAAATCCACTATGTTTATTGGTAGAATACCATGATAACCTTTTTCTTCTTATGGTGCCCTATCCAATTAGTGGATGTTGACGACAATTTTGGCATACTCCTCTCGATCTTGTGTGGCTCTAAAAAGTATATGGGCATCGAGGTTTGTCCAATCCCGTATGTTTTTCAAAAAATATAAAAAGGAATATTACAAATAGTTGGGTATAATATACCGTGATGTATATGCATGTATATATGTGTATATAATTATATTAGTTTGTATAGATATATAAATACATATTGTAGGATTTTATCTTGTTGTCTAGGGTTTAATTAAATGGTCACAGGTCGATTCAAATTAAAACACATACATTATTGTTGATCTCGTAAATTACATGAATAAATTTAACTAACGTAAACAATAACTATAACTTAAAATAGGACCGCGGCTTAATAGCAAAAATATTAACGTCTTTCGTCGTACGTCGTTTAGAGATGAGATGCCGTCTTATGCATATCAACTCTTCGTCGTGAGTGTACCACTTACACTGTGTACTCGACCCCCCGTCGAGCATTCAGCAATGCTACTTAACTCTGGACTTCAGCTCGCGGTTCGTGATAAATGGAAGTTAGAAATTGGTTACGAAAATAACTTTTTTACTTGGTGACGAATGCAATCCTACAATGTTCATGTTCCCTATCCCTGACACAGCGCATTCCAAAGGCTGATGGGAAACTTACTAGGTATAAATAGGACCGATTTGAATAAGTTATATTAAAAATGTCGTAAGTAGATGTAGTAAAAAATAAAAAAACCAAAAAAACATATACGCGGAGTGTGTGAGAGCAGTATACACTTGGGAATGCACACTCTATAGTTAAGTTAGCTTATTAGTAGTAATTAAGATAAAAAAACAAAAGACCGCTCACTGTCTAAACAAAACCACGTCTTCTACCGAACATCGAATGGCATATGCTGTTTCGTCCAAAACTTAATAATCCCGACTCAAAATTTATAAAAGGCCCGTCAGGCCTTTTATACCAGCCGTCAGGCATAGGCCCTTCAGTTGTTGATCCTATCGCGAATACCGAGCACCTAGGTCATGTGCGGCATACATGGGCTCGGTGGCCCCGGACTCTACTCGGATGTTTAGCCGGCGAGGAAAACAAAATCTATTGTACGAGTGTACGAGCACACACTTTTTTCGTACAAAGAAGCCCAGGCTGATGGCTCTCTATTCGGAACACTACTTTTTCTTTTTAGGGACACCAATCCCGATGTCAAGCTAGAGTAAATTCTATAGAGTCAGTAAAGTAAATAAGGAGAAAAGCCGATATGTGTGCTACCCCTATGGCTACGTGGCTTAACCAGAATCAATAAAAACAGAGGGTGTAACATTTTAATTTGTATTCTATTATTATATTGAATTATTTTGCAGTGTATTGTATTGTATTTTTATATTAGTAGCTAATAAACAATGAATGTTGCTGCAGAGTATGTGTAAAAACATTTTTTGCATTAAAAAGTATCATAAGCCTCCTGAAGTAAGTCACACGCTGAGAAGGGGTGGACGAAAAGCTTGGGGGTCAGGTAGGTACCACTTTAATAGCGAAGTATGGCCGGTTTGATCTTCGGACATGTGGATCCCACTTTCCAATGGTATACACATGTTCCTTAGGGGCAGGGTTTATCACATGTGTGTGTGAGTTATATCTAAATAGACACCTGTGGATCAACTGAGAACATGACAAAGTGGCTGCAGCTCTTCATTACTGTAAATATGTTGCTTGACATGACACAGACACACACAAACATACAGACACAAGCGCGCATAATATCGCCAGATTCGTGGTGCAATTATGTTCAGAAGATGCATGGTATAGAAAAGAAAGTATTGACTTATGTGATGCTCCAGAGAGCTAGCGAAATCTGAGAATTACATCCTTAGCACGGTAAGCGTGCTCTGCTCTGCTTGAAAGTATTTCGTCCTAACTCGTAAGAAAATGGATGGACAACGACTTAATAAAAAAGAAAAAAAATCGTCAAAAAAAAAGGCTCAAAATGAGTAACTCTTCTGAGCTTATAAATACCAGCTCAACAGAAACGATTAGGAAGGTGACTTCAGTCGCGCATTTTGTCTCCGCTCAGCTAGAAGGTGTTTAGAGAGGAACAGACTCAAAGCAGGTATCAAAAACACCTTTCTGGAGCTCAACAAAAGAGCATGAAGGGAAATGCAAAAAATGACTGCTATGATATGGTCACAGCAAATCCACATAAAACTAATGCGGGGACACTGGTAAAACTTGAGGGTAAAAAGAGACCACGGAAGAACACCATTAACTTACCACAACAAAGAATCGCTAAAAAACCAAGGAACTCTAACAAACAGACTAGATTGTATAGCAATGTCAACCTAAATACAAAAGTATTTAGGTTGGCGTTGCCACACACACAGCATCCTGATACTCAAGGAGATCAGGCTTAAGCAAAGCTGATTATCAATAAACTAGAATAAGCAATGGATGGAGCTTCTATCGAAAGTTAAAGTCAGTTTCCGCAGTTCCACGAAACATCGTTTAGCGCGGGAAACTTGTGGGTAAACTGTGCTAATTTGTTCAAAGAAAATGGACAACTGAGATGGTTAGGACTATTAGCGACTGTTGGAAGAAGCTAACTTAAGTGAAGTCGATCCTAATAATATGCTCAAGCGCCCCATGATCCTTATCTGCGTCCCAAAGAATAGGGCCAAAGAAATAATTATCAGGACACATCGAAGGAAACAGAATTAAGACATTAAGACGAAAAACTATTAATTAAAAAATCGGAAGATCGGTAACGACTCACAAATCCTAGTCGACTAGGTCCCCTACAAGTCAGTGAGGCTTATTCTCTTCTTGCCTCTTTGAGGGGTATTATAAACTTCAAAAGTGATGTGTATCCTTCAAAATTATTAGAGGTCTCGATGGCTCCAATAAGTCTTGCAGACGAACCTCCAGTATAGTTAGACAGCTTTAGCAGAACTTACTATTGTTCTAAGGAGGTTAGATTTAATACAAGAGCCCTGGGTTTACAAGGACAAAATAAGTGGTCTATCGGGCATTGGTGGATAGCTTATATATAACCGATCTAGTTGTAGATCGAAGTCCCGAGAACATGTATATTAGTCAAATGAGATATCAAAACACTGTTTGGTGAATCTTTGTTCCGACCTTATAGAGGAAGGACGTATGAACGAGATAATTCTCAAATCAGCATACCTTCCATATATTGATTCCTATCAACCACCACCAAAGGAGTTGAAACAGCTGGTAAGGCATTGACGGAAAAATGAACTATAATTGATCATCGGCTGTGGTGCGAATAACCACCCTACATTAATCTTTTTTTTTTCGTCTTTATAGAGGGGAGGTCTGGAATCTTCAAAAGATATCTCAGTCCAGGACACCGCCTGACTGACCTTAGCGCAGGATTCGTTCTTCGTACTCCCGGCGATAGTTCCCGAAGTACTTTAAAATGCCTTCGCGTCGCCAAGTCTACGCCGAACGCCTACCTGCTAAACCAGACCCTCCTTTGTCATCCAGCGATCTGGAAGTGGAATAGTTGCTGTAAGGCCGGCATCACTTCCGAAGCACTACCTTTAATAATTTACTCTCCATTCATCCACATCTACACTACATTCATTAGCAAGGAGACTCTCTGTCTCGTTCCAAATAGCGCGTAAAAGACCCTCATCCCTCCTAGTACGGCATCATTCCCAGACGGGCATTTCCTCCTTGCCCGCAGTCTAACTCACGCATTCTAACTCATACAGTCTGACCCACTTTTCTAGCTTCAATTTCCAGCATCTTTCACTCTTACCTTTGCCGTTGGTCCAGCTGTCTTTTTTTCTTTTCTTTTTTCTTAATCACTGCACGGATATAGTTGTGTATGTTAGTCCAATCTGATTTATTTTCAATCATTCTCTAAATTATTTCTAATAAAATTCACACCTATCTCTCTTTCTCCATTCTGTTCCTTTCCACTATCCATCTGCTGCAATCTAACATCGTATGTGTCACAGTGTCCGAGTGTCTACAGTATAGACATTCATCTGTATCAGCCTTTCCGAACCTAGAGAGGTAAGCCCTAAAACACCTGTGAGCATCTGCGTCAGGAAATAATCAAGTCGCCTGGCTTATTTCAATTGCACCAATAATAGAGGTGTCATTACTTCACGACTCACGTTACTGGAACCGTTAAAAAAATATAATCGAAAAAATGTTTAAAATTACCAGCTAATGATCCTATGAGGAAAAATTATCGTATCTTTCGTAAAATAAACTAGGAAGCATACCAAACTAACCTGGAATATTGTTTAGGTACGGTTCTTCTTTTTTTATTCAGAAGAGATACATTTATTTCTGGTATTTGGTCATAAGATCTTTGTACTATACCTGTTTTTTTTTTCATTAAACTTATTGGTAGTTTCAATATACCTTAGGGATTAATCCTCAGTTGACCAGTGAATTTCTGTCTCATATCTTTTCAAACTTTTCTTCCATTTAACATTTTCTGCACCATGTTTATTGAGCATACTTATTTTGTATAGATGTTTTCTTACATTATATTATCCATTTATAAGTTCAGTGATCGATTTATTCTTTTATTTACTGAGGTTCATGTTTTTTTTTTCAATATTATTGAACCTTGTTTTGCCAACAAAACTGCTCATTCATTTCCATGTACTCCTTCATGACTCGGCACCCATACAAAAGACATTTTTTTAGATTTTATCAGCTTGTTGAAGGCAGGGTTAAAGGGGCGATAAGATGGTTTTTATGAAAGCCATCTGTTTTAATAAGGTCGAAGTGTAGTCAATTAGCTTACTGTAAGTTTCTATTCCTTTATATAGGTCTAGTGAATGGATAGTCTATATTTTTAGAGTTTTGCAAAAGGTGTTTGCCGCCTGCGATTTAGTGACTTGCAGTTATGAAAGATAAGATTAATTATTAAGAATAATTCTTCATTAAACAGTCCTATAATAAGCATGTGTCTTTTGACTCCGCATATCTAGTAAGGAAACCAGGTATGATTCTGACCTGATTCCAGCTTATTTTCACAGTACTTCAGTACATATTAGCACGCATCCATTCAATCACTCGCTATACAGTCGCACCGTATAGCGAATATATTTTCCCAGCGATAGTTAGGTTGTCTTTGGATTCAGGCTTTTTTTTGTCATAGACGATGTTTTTTGACAGCACAATTCCCGTGACCTAGAATTTATACCAGTTTGACACTGCTGTATTTTACAAGTCTTTCAAGTTCCTCTTGGAACCACACTAGCACAGTTTCTCCTGATCCACGCTAGCTCAGAGTCCCCTTTAGGGCTTATGAGTACCTCCATTACTTCTTTACTCTCTATACATATATTGATCCGCTTCCGTTCGAAAGCTCTCATAATAATTTCTCTTGGACACTGCAAGATTGCAAAAGTCTGGTCCTGAAATACAGAGGTATATTCTCCTAGTGTAACAGTAATGTTTAAGTTTTTACCACTACTAAATATTCCTGCACCCGACTCTTCTGCAGATTTATCAGGTATAACCCTGTAGTCTGAGTCAAGTGTTTCAATATCAGTAGTAAGTTATCAATACTTTGGGCTTATTTGGGGGTGGTTCATGGTTTTTTGTTATATTAATATTACATTAAAATGGTCTAATCTAACCCATACGTTGCTCAGGTTTTTTTGCAGTCTATAATATCCCGTTCTCGCCTCACTTTTTATAATAATTAATAAAGGAAGAAGTAAGGCCTACATAGCCATCGTTGGTGTGCCCTTAATAGCCCCTGTGATTTCCAGACAAGAAAGTCTTTGCACCTTGCATTTTTTGCTACAAGTTTTGCCACCATATCTGATTTTAAAGGACTTTTTTCATGAATGCGTCTGGCTGCCATTAACGTAGTTACCGCTGTCTTGATTATTCGTTCTATCTGCTGATACCAAATAAAATTGAGTCTAATATAATCCCAAGATACTTTGCTTCACCCTCCAGATTTAGATGTGTATCATTTAGGATTAGAGGACTCAATCCCTCTTAGTTTCTCCTTTTAGTAAATTTTATAATTTTGTACTTATGATTTAAATTCCATTCTGTAAATAAAGTTAGAGCCTGTTTAATTCTATATCTGACTATGCTATTTAATTTTTAGTGTTTTAAGATAACCAGGTTATTACCATAGCCCAGGACATGAGCCTGTCGTTTCTGAGTATAGATATCAACAAATGTATGACTAGATTTTACAAAACAGGAAATAAAACTGCGCCACCGCTCCTGTTGTTAGCCTCGGGTTACTAGTTATAATACTGTATCCACAGTAACGTTTGGTTAACACATGACTTTTGTCGACTGTTCCCTCTATATCAAGAAATGCACCTGACATCACCTCTTAGTTTTCCAGAACATACCTACTCCGCCCTCTGAACAAGATGGTGCAGTGCCGTTTCTGTAAACTCCTACTCGATACGCATACTGTAGCTCATATATCGAACTTTCAATCAATATACCATCCCTAAGACGACTATCGGGCAGTTTTCTAGAGTGGGTAGTACGAATGACATCAGATTTATCAGCCTTAAAGACTTCAGTCTTTCCTCGAAAGTTTGTTAGTTTTAGGTTTAAAATCTACTTTTATAAGCCTCAATTCTTTTGTACTTTTTGTGTACAGAAGTTCATTTTCGCTCTGTAAAAGTATTGGGTAAAACTCATCCTAACCTGATGATTTATATGGCTCAAATGAGTTTATTGCCCTTTCGATTTTGTCCTGGTTCACCACTTTTTTGCCACACGCTAGTTTTCCCTAGAGTCATAAGTCATGCTATCCAGTCCAATCTGCTTTCATATGACTAGTGGTATTAGTTCTGTTTTAGACTCAGAAATATGTATCCTAAAATGTTCTTTCAGGGTCTCTTCACTATTCTGAGTGTATTCACCTAACTCCTTTTGGTGCGAAGCAATACTTACTTGACTGAGTATACTTACTATACTGAGAGAACTCTCAGAAGCCTTGTTACTTCTGTAATATGATGTATCTCCTTGTAATGCATTCTCCATGATTCTCTTTTTGTCCTTCTCGGTTTTTTATTATAATTAGTCAGATTTTTGCGATAATCACCCTACTTATCTGATGTTTTGGCGAAGTTAAATTTTCGTCTCACTTCTGTCCTTTAAATTGCAAGGTTGTCATTCCACCAGAGTACTTTATGTTAAAATTTCTCACTAACTGCTGAAAGTCGACAGGATGCCTCATCTGACACATGCCATTTTTTAACAGTTCTAGCCACGTGAGCCGTGGCTACTGTTATATCAATTACCTCCTTCCGTTGTGAAGTTACAAAAGTTGGTTTGTTTCTTGAGTTTAGTATGTCTATTTTTTTTTATATAAATCATGTTCCATACTAAACTGTAGTCATGACTTACCTATTGCATTAGAGTTTATACTGTCCCAGATCAGATGGTGCCTACTCGCATTACAACCAATGATTTATTGCAGACCTCTTACTTATTGTTTCAACTCACTTCATGGTGATTCCTTGTGATTATCATAAGGAGGTGTACTCTTTCGAGAATTATCTCCTTCACACCTCTCCCCTATATGATCTTCATATTTGCTGCCGTTAAGTGACTGGAAAAAAATTTATCAGCGGCAGTGTATTGATATATCATTTGACTATTATGCAGGTCCTTTGTGAACCTAGGGCTCTTGTATCAAAGAGGCATCCAACCTTTTTATAAAAACAGTCAATTACGTCGAAACTGCCTTACTATTGTTATATCTTTATTAATTCTAATTTATTGTTGTTATTATTTTAAATTACTAAAGGTTCAATATTTATAACACTCACGAATTTATCAAAGTCTTTATTACTAATAATTTATTTTACACTTAATAATTACAAATAATTTATTTGCGTGCGACACAATTTTAACCCGATATCCGCGATCTTCTTTTGACTGCCGGCCACAATAAAAGCTCCGTTATTATATATGAAAATACAGCTATTCGAGAGTTCAGGAGAATCCCTTTGCTAATACTAGGCCGGGTCATCATTCGACCGGTTTCTGGAAACTTCGAACGGCCGTTTCAGGTATATGTCTGCCAGCTGATCGAAGGGTCTCGTCCATTCTACAACATATTTAGTAAATAAACAACATGTTTACAGGTTTATTTTAATACGACTAATTTTCACGTAACATTGTCCCCCTCTTAAAAGATGGTTCCACCTGGAACCTTGTCGGGACTGGAACTGGAACGACATGCTGATATCGGCAACTGGACCCTCTTTTACAACTTTTAGTTGTATAAAAATGACAAGGGACGGTTTTCTCTCCGCACCAGTAACTATGCGGATTGCAACAGACAAACCCCTGGACTTCGGTGTCTTTAAAGATCTCCTCCACCATATTTCGGATAACTCTCCAATCTAATTGGCGGCACTTCAACTTTGGCATGGCTAACTTTTGCACGTCGGACTCTAGTACGTGCTCTCTCAATTAAAGTAGGGCTTCATATACATCTCGGTAGATAGGTTGGCCATGGGCAGTGTCTTTTGTTATCAGGTAGAAAAGGTAACGTGATGCACCTTGAAGTTTCAAGGATTATCCGGGAGCTGGCACTTGGCATTGAAGTTCTGCAACTCGACCGAAAGACGGATGCCAACCCTGGTGCGTCTTTGATACTGGCCGGGATGGTAAGGGCCAGTGAGTAGTCATTGGGAAGCGCGAGTAGATCTTGCCTTTCTTCAGTGGTAACACCATGTCTTGCTTTACCGGTACCTCCATAGGCATCCATGAATTCCTCAAACGTAAGGTCAGACACATCTTGGACTTGGTTTACTTCCCGTTCTTCATCTACGTCGTGGTCACATTCGAAAGACGCCAGCCGGTTATGGTGTACTATTATCGGCTTTCCCCTCGGAATCTTGCTTATTCGGTAAATGACATCATCTTTTCCATAATGGACCTTCCCAAAACTGCTGCAACTTGGGAGAACAACCTTTTTACTTTTTTGGATTATAAAGCCAGACTTTGTCGTTCTTCTTAAAACACCCCTTTTCGGCTTGCGTATCGTACCGTTTCTTCATTCAGTCACTAGCGATCTGGAGATGGGAACGGACCAACTCGTGTACATCGTCCATTCTTCTTCGTAATTCGATCACATAATCTTCACTTGCTACATGTTAGTTACTTACAAAGGGTTACAGGACGCTACTAATTCTATCAACCCTGGCCCTTCCTCTAGTAAGGACACAGGAAGTTCAAATAACTAACCTCCAAAATAATCCCGGAATCCTTCCGTATAAGTTAGGAACAGCAAAGGTAAAATCCCAAATACATACATTTCTTCATTACTACGATCTTTCCCCTATAGGTAACGAAATAGAATCTATAAGATATGCATATGACAATGTTACACTTGCAATTCAAGATGGCCTTAGTCATCCTTATTTTCAAGAACTTCATAACTTTGACCATGCTCTACTTTTCCAACTTAAATCCGCTGAACAAAAATTTAATTCTTTATTGCCACCTTTTAGATCAAAAAGAGGTCTTATAAACGGTTTAGGATCTCTGGTAATCTTGATTCCGGTGACGTCTTGCTTTATGACCAAGCCATCTCTGATCTCCAAAATAATAATCAAATATTAGTTACAAAAGTAAATCAACAAATTTCTCTGACCAAGGATATAATAGCAAATTTTAATGAAACAGTAACTCTTATAAAGAACAATCAAGAAACTATTTTTATGGGTATAGATAAGATACGCACATCTTTAAATAAATTTATATTTGATTTCAATGACTATTTGCAGACTAGAAATATATTAGATCAGTTAAACTTAAGCTTAAACATTATTTTACAACTTTTAGATGAAATAGAAAATGCCGTTACTTTTGCTCGACTTTACGAGGAATTTTACATAATAGCATTATTGATAAAAATGAGTTAAATTCTATCAAAGAGATTATTTTAAAATACCATACAAAAAATGAAGTACTTTTTCAAAATTTTAATGATACTTATAAATATTATGATATTTTAAAAACAGAAGCCTATTACTCTGAGACAAAAATTGTTTTCTCTGTTCACTTTCCTATTGTTTACCCAGAACTATTCTCCTATTATCATCTTTATTCAATTCCTACATCAAATCACAGTACCATTGTACCTCGAAATACCTTTCTGACTATGAATGAAAATTATTACCAATATCACTCACTGCCCTGTCTGGACCTGAAGCCCAATTTCTATTGTACTGATGGCGATTTCTCTGCTGGAGTAGAGAAAGAAGATTGTGTCTTTCAATTATTGCAACTGAAGACCAGTTCCACAACTTGCCGCAGAACTCCCGTCCGAATATTTGAAAATGTAATACAACAAATTGATGATTCACATTACATTGCCATCTTCGTAAACCAAACTAAAATCGAGACGATATGTCAGAAAACCGATTTTACCACATTAAAAGGAAATTTTTCTAGTTTCCATTCCTTACCAATGCCAGTTCAAAGTAGATAAGAAAACTTTTATTGATAAGAAGACAGTTGTCCAAGGCCAACCACTTCTCTTACCTGAGTTAAGAGTTTCCAATGCTCAAGAAGAAGAAGAAGTCCCAGAAATTGTCCTAAAGGATATCCCCCTCGACAAAATTTACACAATCCAAAGAAATCAAAATCGAATTCACTCCAGCATCTAAAGAAGCGTTCCACAAACCAATGGACTATCATACTATATATAGTAATACTGTCATCTTCATAGCCATTCATTATATTAAGAAGTTAGAAACAAAAGAAAATCCACATCCAACGTACAATGAACCACCTATGGAAGAAGATGACCCCACAGTTCCTGTACCAAATCCAAGGGCATTTTTTACTCCATGAAATATGCCAAGAACTCGCAAGGGAGAAGTTATGGAAACCGGCCATGTTCCAGTCATCCACCTAATAATGATGATCTATAATTTGTGTTTTAATGAACTTTGCAATAAGATTAGTTTACATTTTTTATAATTACTTAGCCATCATTTTTACCATTGCGTTTTTAATTAGATATATTTCAGTCTGTTTATAAACTTCAAAGAAAGAACATTATAACTTTATATAAAAATTGTCCGCTCGATGGCAAAAGATAAAAAACTCTACGAACTAGAAGAGGAATTGGAGAACTTGAATTGGGACATAATGGGACTGTCAGAAGTTAAAAGAAGAGGTGAAGGAGATGTGGACTTACATTCAGGCAACAGACTCTATTATAAAGGCAGAAAAGACTATACATACGGTGGGGTAGGTTTCTTAATCAACAAGAAGAGAAAATCTCAAATTCAAATAATTGACAGCATCTCACACAGGGTTACATACATGGCCTTAAAACTAAGTCCAAAAACTAAAATAAAGATCGTGCAAGTTTATGCTCAAACTGAAAAAGCAACCAATGAGAAAATAAATAGTTTTTACGAATATCTTAAAAAAGCTATAGACAACAACAAAGAATCCAAAATAATAATAATGGGAGACTTTAACGCCAAAATTGGAAGTAAGATTGAAGACTCTGAAAGCAAGAATGGAAATTTTGGATTCGGCACAAGAAACACAAGAGGAGAAAAACTCATGGAATTCCTGGAACAAGAAAACATGTATGTTATGAATACCTTCTACAAAAAGAAACCTAACAGAAAGTGGACATGGGTCGCACCTAACGGGACTACTAAAAATGAAATAGACTATTTTCTCTCAAACAACAAAGGAATATTTAAAGATGTCACAACAATAAACTAAACAACGTAACAACGGGTAGTGACCATCGTATAGTCAGAGCAAAAATAAATATTAACATGAAAGAAGAGATAAAAAGGATTTAAAAAAAAAACAACGAGGATAGATGACTTTAAACTAAGAAAAAATGAAGAGCAATTCCGAGAGGTCTTAGCGGATAAGTTCGAATTTAATCCTTCACATAATTAAGATCAAATTGACGAGAATAATAAAAACATAAATAAAAACCTCGCAGCCAGACTACAGGCAAATAAGCAATGAAACTAAACAACTAATTATGGAAAGAAGAGAACTACTAGCGCAAAACAAACGTTATACTCAAGAATACAGAGAACTTAATAAAACAATTAGAAAAGAACTAAAACGCGACATACAAAAATGGATTGAGCACTTAATAGAGCAAATCATTGAAAACAACAGAGGCTTAAAGTGTCTAAGACCCGCACTGGGAGTTCAAAAAATCATAAAAATTAAAGGCGGGAACAATAAGGAAGAGAAGGACAAAAATATAAAAAAACAAATATTGTCGAAGACTTCTACACATCCTTGTACAGCTCGCAAAGCCAGCCTAATGAAACAACAAAGGAGAATGTCAAAAGAAAAGTGAAAAACGTGGGATCAGAAGTACTGCCAAATATAAATGGATTCGAAATAGAAAGAGCTTTAAAAGAGTTAAAAAATAATAAAGCTCCAGGACACGATGGTATAATTGCCGAACTCTTGAAAACAAGCAAGACATTAACAATCCCTGTACTAACAGAGCTATTTAATAGATGTCTCCATAATAGCAAGATCCCTAAAGACTGGAACGAGAGTCTAGTAATACTCTTACACAAAAAATGGGACAAATGTGATCTGCAGAATTATAGACCTATATCGTTGCTCAGTCAAGTATACAAATTATTTATGAGACTTATTAACAACCGGTTGACCTACAAAATGGACAATTACCGCAAAGGATATAGTACATCAGACCATCTGCTGACAATGAGAACATTGATAGAGAAGGCAAATGAATACCAACTACCCGTATTTCTTGCCTCCGTCGACTATGAAAAGGCGTTTGATAGTATCGAAATGTGGGCCATACAACAAGCTATTAATAATTGTAGAATAGATTCGAGATATAGGCAACTAATTCATAATATATATATATATATATATATATATATATATATATGAAAATGCAACTATGATAGTACAACTAGACGAAAATATAAACCCCATCCCCATTAAAAGAGGAGTGAGACAAGGAGACGTAATATCGCTAAAGCTTTTCAACCTAGCCCTAGAAGACGTCTTTAAAACTACAAATTGGTCAACCTATGGAATTAAGGTTAATGGCAACAAGTTAAACCACCTCATATTCGCTGACGACATAGTGATTATAGCAAGCACATTCGAGGAACTGCAAATTATGATGGAGGAATTAGCAGGAAGCTCCCAATACGTCAGCCTAAAAATGAATATGAAAAAACAAAAATAATGACAAACACAGATGACTCCAGACGTATAACTATAAATGGCAGTGAGATAGAACAATCCCAGGAATATATCTGCCTAGGCCAAATCCTGAAACTTGACAAAGAGAACCAAAGTGCGGAAATTACTAGAAGAGCAAGACTAGCCTGGGCAGCATTTGGAAAACTTAGTTGGATACTTAAGAACCGCAAAATACCCCAATACTTGAGGAGCAAAGTGTTTAACCAATGCATCCTTCCTATCATGACATATGGATGTCAAACCTGGACCCTAACCAAGGCAAACCTGAATAAACTAGCCACAACAGAAAGAACAATGGAAAGAGCAATGTTACGTATACGACTATCAGATAAAAAGAGGAACGACTGGGTAAGATCAAAAACAAAAGTCGAAGATATAACAACAAAAATTGCCAAACTTAAATGGATCTTTGCAGACCACACTGCTAGACAAAAAGACAAACATTGGAATACTACAATACAACATTGGAGACCTTACGAAAGTAAACGACCAAGAGGAAGACCACAGATGAGATGGATTGATGACATTAAAAGAATAGCTGGAACAAATTGGAAATACGTTGCTCAGGATAGAGACCGATGGAAGGAGTTGGGAGGGGCCTATGTTCAAATATGGACGATAGAAGGCTAAGAAAAAGAAGAAGAGAAGCAATAGGTTAAAATTATATCACTATTTATAAAAGGGGACCGTAATTATTACAAACACTGCAAATGTGTCGTTGGATGCAATCTATAAAATATACTCCAAAATTATTAACAATAGTATAAAAAATATAGAATAGAAAATATATAAAAAAATATAAAATATATAGAATGTTTCTATTACAAAACAAATTATCGCAATTATCAGAAATGCATTTTGCATCTTTAAATATTGAAAATCATTGGACCTGGTCGATAGGCACAAACTGGATGTGGTAAAAGTGTACAAAAATACATAAAAGCTGAGTAGCGAGTCACGCTAGAATCCACGCTAACGAAATTTCTCAGAATATTTAAAAGCATTATTGTCGCAAGATTTACTAGAAAAATTAATATGTAAGACAATAACTAAATGTATATTTCCATGTAAACTCTTGAATAAACAAGAAGAAGAGAAGAAGAAGACAAGCAAGTACTTATTTAATATTTGTAATACAAATTTACTCACCTTTCTGTGGAACTAATATTTCTTCATCGACCAATTTCTCATAAGAAGTCTTATAAAGAAAGAAAAAAGCTTTTCTTTCATTAGTATCGACAGTATCGTCCAAAAAAGAGGAAAATTGTTCTTCTAATTCCTCCTTATTGGTCATCATTTCTTCAAAATAATCACAAGAAGGTAATCCGAAGAATGTAGTAATGCGGTTTTTTATCCATTCTCGTCTATAATCAGTCCCCATTGTTATAATATACTTATATTATTTTAAAATCTTTTTTGAGATTAAATATTTATTTCACTTTTGACAATGGAGTATTAATGTTTATCGTAAAACGGTTGAATATGTAGGTATATGGTAACGGTTGTATATGGTAGCAACGGATCAACAGTTGTAAGCAATTAGGTGTGATAATCAATATCAACGTAAATGGTCGGTAGTTTTAAAGTAGTTGCCTAAGATACCAAATAGAATAGAATAGAATAGAATTGAATATTCTTTATTAATCCCATCAGATTACATTGTGATATAGGACAAGTCATATAGTACATAAAGCATGATCAACAAGTTATATAGGACAATTACATGAAACAAAATCAATCAAATATAGATTAATATAAAAATAAAAAAGACATGCAATATAGAGCGTATCTGAACCCGTCGGTCCTCATTCCCTGTAGTCTTTTATTAAGTCAAAATAATCATTTAGGTTGTAAACGCATAATTGTATCAAGCATGCTTTTAATTTATTTTTGAATTTTTTAATATTATTTTCATTTCTTATATGAAGTGGAAAACAATTGTAAAATTTAGATCCTGCAAAATCAGGACTAGTTTCAAAGAGAGTTGTGGAGTGATTACACACACTTATCAACCTCCCGTGTTTTGTCGGGTAATTATGAAAGTCAGAGTTAAGGGTAAAATTTTAAAATTTAGTGTTGACGTGAATAATACACTTATAAATATATAAAGCATGAAAAGTCAACAGCCTGTGTTCAATAAAATATTTACGACATGATTGTCTATTATCAATATTGAATATCAATCTAAGAATTCTCTTTTGAGTTATAAAAACTCTAGAAGAGTTTCTAGAGTTTCCCCACAAGACAACATTATATGCTATATATGAATAAACCAATGCATAATACATACTTATCAATTGATTGGTGTTAATTAAAGTTTTCAACTGAATATTCTCATAGTAACCCTTATTCATTGTTTTGCAGACTTTAGTGACATTTTCATGCCATGTCATATTACTGTCTAGAATGCTACCAAGAAATAATATTGTATCACTAAAAGGTATTTCGTCAGAACTACCTGTGATCTTATAACCATGGGATGGATGGCTTACAGCACGAGTAGAATTGCAACAAAATAGTTTTCTTTGCATTTACCATTTAAGGGTTCCTTTTACACCAGATTGTAAATTCCTGTGCTACTAAGTTCATTTTTGATATCAGTTCGACTTCAGTTGACTCGTCAACTACAATTGTTGAACCATCTGCATAAAGAACTGTATGGTCTGCAGTTAAAAAATTTGTCAAATCATTGTCATATAAAAGAAATATTAAGTGTCCCAATACGGAGCCTTGCGGTACACCTTGATCAAGATTATTATCATCAACAGATGACTTCTTATTATCGACTTTTACTAGGAATTTACGATGTTGTAAGTATGACCTTAACCAGTTCAAGAAATGACCCCGAAAACCAAGGGCTTCTAATTTATGCAGTATAATTTCAATGTCAATAGAGTCAAAAGCCTTAGTTAAGTCAAAAAAGAGTGCACCCACATACCTTATTCTATCCAAAGCAGCGTGGATATAATTAAATAATGAAATAGAAACACTCTCTGTAGATTTATTAGGAAGAAACCCATGCTGGCATTTATTTAAGATATCATATTTATTTAGAAAATTTAACATTTTACTGTAAATACACTTTTCGATAATCTTAGAAAGTGATTGTGATCTAGTTACGGTGATTGGCCTGTAATTATCAACCAAACATGGATCTCCCTTTTTGAAAAGTGGAATAACTACTCCCGTTTTAAGGTCAATTGAAAACTTGCCATCCTTGACAGATAGGTTGATGATGTGAGACAAAACAGGAGATATATATTAAGAAGTGTATTTAAGTATTTTAATGGGGATTTGATCAATACCTACTGAGCTGGTATAGTTTAAGGAAGATATAGCATTCTCAATATCAAATGGTGAGACCTCAGAAAAAAAGAATGTGTTGTTAATTGTCATAGTTGTGAAGTCGTTAAAGGTATAGTTATTACAATATTTTAATAATGTGTGTTTGACTGATGTACAAAAATACTCACCAAATGTTATTGCTATGTGTTCTGGATGTATCAATAATTTATTATTATCAGTAATACTCCACTCAAAATTGTGTTTATTTTTACCAGTTTGACGATTCACAGTTTTCCATATCTCCTTCCTTCTTTTATTATTATTTTATGTAATTTTTTTACTATTATTTATTATTATATTTACTATTATTTTATGTATATTTTATGTAAATAACTTTGATATATGAGGCTTTTTTTATATCCTTTACCTTACGGATAAAGTTGGCCTTTTGTATTTTATAGTTATACATTAAATCTGGATTACCACTAACATTTGCTCAGCCAAAATAAATCTTTCAGCTTTTTACTAAGCTGAAGAATTTCAGTATTGATCCATTTTCTGTTGGTATTTGTAATTATGCGTTTTGATATTAAAGGACATGTTGTATCAATATGATAGGAAACAGAGTTCAAAAAAGCTCTATATGCATCATTTGAATATGTATATAAACATTTTCGAAATTCTCAGAATCAAGATTCAACAAAAGATTAGATAAACAATTTTTTGATAAGTTTCAATAAGTAGCTATCTGGGATGTAGCAGTATTGTTACTCTCAGATATGTTTAAAGTAAAATGAAGTCCTAGATGATCACCTAAATTGTAATTCACGACAACCTCATTGTATAATTGAGGGATATTGGTAAGGAATATTTCAATAGTAATTTTACATCCGTATTAATATTGTATACTCGTATACTCGTATATATAGTTGGGGTATCTGTGTATGGAATATATAAATTTTTATTTGGCAGTTACCTATGAAGTTAGTTGGGTTTCAAACCACTTTATTTTTATCAAAAACCACTTTATAAAAATGAATTAAGAAAGAAGAGTATTAACATTCTTCTTTCACCTGTAGGTAAGGGGCCACAGTTACCCGTTAATTTAAGCTAACTGTGAACCCTGGCAGAGAGACTGTGGTCTGCTTGGTAAACTTCACGTTGTAGTTTTTATAATTAAAGGTGTAACTGTGGCTTAAAATAAAAGCAACATGAAAATGCAGAAATGAATTTTTTTATTAAAAATTAAGAAACAGCAAACACCAAGGCGATATTTTTTAATCTCCTTAAATCCTCACAAAACGTAGTCGACCAGTATTCCTAATATCTTATCATAAGCGAACAAGAGAGGCTCGTTTTTCTCATTTAAATGTATTTTCCACGCATCGTTTTAAACATTTGATTCTCATGACTCTTTTCACTGCATTAATTTGCAATATTAATTCAATCGAATGAGTAACTGCTCGTTTGTTTATTCGTACCACGTCAATTGGAGCTTTATATGAGTCATTACTCTCTGCATAAACAACTTCTTCGGAAATTTTCATCGCCACTACATTTCTGTTATATATTCTTTGACGGTTTTGATAACTGCAGGTGTTCTAAATAGGTTTAAGTTTTGATCAACCCAGCAGCATCTATTCTTTTCCTGTTCCTTTGTTCTAGCTTCGGAGAAGGTTTCACTGTTGCTATTGGAACGTTCTCCCTGGACGCAACGGAAGTTAAATGCAATGCAATACTGTCATTCTGTAGTAGAGCTGCAAGAGGTTGTACATGGGATCGGAGTTTGCTTACCCGTAGAACTTTGCTCGACAATGATAGTGTCATGAATGTCAATCATATCAAATTAATGTATTTCTCTTCATAATATCGTTTTAACATTTTGGGATTAAACTTTTCTTTGAAATTAGAATCTCGATTTAGAGGAAAAACTCCTTTTTTCTAAAACCATTCACCCCAACAGACTCTCGAATACTGAGACAAGCTTTTTCCAAAATGTTTGGAAAATTCGCATTTTGTTAGTTGTTTTCCTAAATTTTTGCCCTGCCAATCTATTAACAAAGTATCCCATAAAGACTTGAGCCCCTTCGAGACAGATACATCCAAAGGCTACAATATTGCAGAAGTATGTGGCGGTAATTTAAGAAGTCACATGTTTACGCTGCCATAGGCAACGCAATTAGTTTGGGTGAAATGTGCGATAAATCAACATTGTAATATAAAAGAGTTTACGCAATTAAACCCATTACGCAAACCCACTTTAACGCAATTTTTCAAAAAACCCATAACCTTTTGCCCTTGTGGAGTATCATGGACGGCAACATGGATCCGTTGACATTAGAACTGTTGTTTTCCATAACGAGCCTGTATTTTGCCTTTGTGCTATTTCTCGAATTCTAGTTACAACTTTAGTACCGTTGGGGGCATAATTAAAAGCAGTTTTATCTGCATTAGATATCCTAGCTGGGTATTGATGCAGTTCGAAATTATTTATAATAGTTTCCAGTTGATCAAAAAAATCGTAAACACACACAAACAACAAATGGCTCACTTCGTTTTCTTACACGTGATGCTTCAATTATCTCCAGGTTTCTGAATAGAAAGTTGGTTGCGTTTGGAATTATTCAGAAAACAAACTTCACCAGGCTTCCCCTTTTTAAATGGTGTTTGCAGATTATTTTGCGTACATATACATTTGCGTAACATATAACTGTACAGTGTTTAAAAGTATTTCTTTACGAGAAAGTCCAAGCATCCATTTAGGCATAGTTTTTAGCCGAAAAAACGAAAATATCTTAATCTTCTTTAGAAAGAGCAGTTTTTCCACCTCCAGTCACAATTCACAACTGTTATAAAAGAATTTCGTTTTTCTAAAAAATAAACTCTAGTAGGTGCCTGATTTTGTTATAAGCTTGTGCATGTCCTGCCGCTGGTCTACCCTTCCACCTATTTCACTTTTAATCCAAGTGTCCAGCCTTTTTTAGTGAGTATTTTTCCGATTTCACATCTCTTATTGGCAGTTACAATGGTTCTTCTGAATACCTACTTCCGGCACCACGATTGATAGTATTTTTAATATATTTATTGCACCGATTATGTATCATGTCAAGCTCCGGGTTGTCCGGGTGTATTTGGAATATTGTCTTTGATTGATCAGGCAAGAGATGAAAGTTTTTATTAAAATGTAAATATTGTTATTATTCCTGTTGATTTAAGAATTTTATCGATTCTGTTAGTGACACCTGTTATGTAATGAAGAAAAGCTTTCGTATGATGAGGGTCTTAGTCTCTGAGTTGAGATTGATATCTGTGGATGCTCCTATTGATGTGATTTTCGCGGTAACCGTTTTGGATGATTGCTTATTTTAAACATCATCTCAAAGGCGTATTGATCTGAAAGGAGACAAGCGTATTAATGACTGAATTATTTGTGAAGGTGGATGATGAGAGTTGGCATGCAATTAACGATTGGTATGGGTGGGTTTTCGATAAACAGAGTGTAATATATATATATATATATATATATATATATATATATATATATATATATATTTATATATATATATATATATATATATATATATTTATATATATATATATATATATATATATATATATATATATATATATATTTACTTATTAAATCGTTTTCGTTCATGGCCACCAAAATAGATGGCACCCATGTACCTATGCTAACCACTGCATTGGTAAAGATTTAGGAGACATTCGTTGGATTTTCCGAGTTTGAATTTGTATCAGCCCAGTGCCTGATCAAGCAAGGATGCTGGAATGGGTCATAACACTCTATTAATACCGATTCGAACACGGGAAGTTTAATGAATTTGTCCTCCTAGGCCATATCAAGTCAAAGTCAACAAAAATAAGAACCAGTGGTCAAATATATTCGATAAACTTTTCGACTAAAGCTTTAAGGCACTACAGATAGTCATTTGTTCCTTGGCCTGACCTAAACCCTGCTTATTTTTCTGACTGGTAGAAGTAGAAATAGAGTTTTGCTTCCAATATGTTTGCCAGTATTTGCGTAAAAAGCTTGTATAGGTGGTTTAGTAAGCTAATGGGGCTATAGTTTTCAAGATCTAATTTACCTCCTTTTTTATGAAGGATGATTGTAACCGAATTGTTCCATTTATTTGGAATGTTTTTATTATGCAGACATATTTAAAAACTGTTTGTATTCCTGACATCAAAGATGGACCTCCTAGTTTAATTGTCTCAATAGCTACACCATCTTTCCCTGGAGCTCTATTATTTTTCATATTTTTGAGAGCATCTTGAATTTCCTTCCATGATATATCTGGTATATCCTCAGATTCCACAATCTGTACCTTTCGTATTTGCTGTTCGATGAGCTCTGAAATAACTTTGTAAAATGTTTCATAGAAACTGTCCACCATATAATATGTAATATGCCTGGTATATCTTAAAAGTTATTAATACAATACCAAATCACTATTCTTTTCTATTTATATAATTTAATATACTGTTTAGAATGAGATGGTCGAATTTTGTTAAGTTTTTTGGAAATTCAAACAAGAAGCAAAATTTCACACTGTAATAGAAAGTGGGAATGGGGCACAGCAAGAAAGGGTACATAACACAAAATAACAACTAAAAGTGATAATTTTATTCCATTTTTTTTTTATTTAAAATAATTACTAATATATCACACTACCTAGATTTCATTAACAAGTTTAAAATTTTGATGCTGTGGTGTAGGTATAACATTGAAGTATTTCTTGTAAAAATCTACACCTTTTCTATATCCATGGCATCTCTGGACCCATGTGTGGTCCCAATCCAAATCAACCTTTTCACATGTAACTGAAACTCTTCCTGGAAGAATTGCAAATAAGGTACCATTTCTACCCATACCAACGTTTAAACCTGGATGGAAACGTAAGTTACGTTGAAGGACTAAAATATTACCAGCATTTACATTTCGACCATCTGGTATCTGAAAATGGACACATATTTAGAGAAATCTATTTTTTGCAATTATTTAATTCATTTATTTATTTACGGATATATTTTTAAAAAAGAATAACGTCAACCTGTACAGAGCGTAGGTTGCGTTAATTAAAAACAAACAAAAATTGAAATTAAACTAAATTAAGTGATAACTTAGTTACACAAAACCTTAACTGATTTCTTAAATGTTGCAGATATTCCAAATAACTCTAAGCGGTAGATAAGCTCATTGGCTGTTTTTAAAATTCTTGTAGTAGGTTAATTTTGACCACAGTTTGTAACATGAAACGGAATGTCGAAAATCTCATTAACATTCAAACTTATTAAACTTAATAATTCTGGAATTTGAATACATACAATCATGTTATGAAGAAAATACAAATTTGCTTCAAACCTTCTATGATGTAGTAGCAAGATATTAAGAATAGAGTATATCATCATATATGTATTGCCGAGTTTAAATCTGACAAAAGTTGTAAACAGTACGATTGTTTCGGTGCTTGATATTTTTTTTGTTATACCAACATTATTTAAGACTGTAAGTTTAAATATTTCTTATTAGTTTAACTTAAAATCGCATTCTAAACTGGATTTATTAGTTTTTTTAATGGTTCATCGATCGTAAATAATTATAATTTTATCAATAATAAATAACAATCAGGTACTATTTTTCTGCTACTGTGAAAAATAATTAATTGGTATGTCGTTCGATGTTACTATACAGAACGTCTCTTCAAAGAGCAAACATTATTACTTAGCAGCCTCACAGCAGGAAGTTTGCTACTAAATATCAAACGATAATTTTTCAGCTATAAATAACACCCGTCTTCAGAATTATCAGTGTATACAGAATATCAATGTATATTATATAAATTTATATTATATAAATATATAAATTTATGGAGAAATATGGTTCTATTGAAGTGCAAGGAGAAATATTACGAGCTAGAAGCTAGAAGACTTATAACGCCGACAGAAAGACTAGTGTTATCCAGAGTATAATCACATGTTAAGCTTTAGAGGGCAAGTATTTGTCAGGCCACATAATAATACTATCCCAGGTTCTATTGAACGAACAGCTTATAAAAGGCCGCCTTGAGCGAGAGCTCGATGAAAAGCATGCGCTGAGCCATCGCCAATATGGTTTTAGGGCCAAAAAGTCCACCATAGATAGGGTCACAGAAGTAACCTCTTTAGTTACGCAAGATACAAAGATATGGGTGACTCTCATCCTGTTCGATGTCAAGAATGCCTTTAATACGGCACCATGGAAAAAAATCAAGTCCAGGCTTAGAGAATTGGGCATAAGTGAATACCTGGTCAGACATATACTTGACTGACAGGTCCATAAGAGAAAAAGACACCAGCATCAGTTTGTCGCAGGGTGTTCCACATGGTTCAGTACTAGGTCTCATCCTGTGGAATGTCCTGTACGACGGGGTGTTGAGGCTACAGATGCCAAGTGGATGCACTCTTGTAGCTTATGCCGATGATCTCGCACTAGTTGCGAAGGCGAGTCAGAAAAGCAACATGCCTAATGCGGCTAATACAACCCTGTATCGCATTAGTAGGTGGATCAGAGAGAATGATCCACAGCTAGCGCCTCAGAAAACTGAGGTGTTAGTTCTCAAAGGGACCCGGGAAAGATCCTCTCTTCGCTTTATAGTGAAAGGTGTGGAGGTTGCACCGGTTAAATCAATTAAATATCTGGAAGTCTGGTTGTCGGAAGGTCTAAGGTTCTGAGTACACATTCAAAAGACAGTAGAGAAGGCGAACCGAAATCTGGAAGCGTTGATACGGTTGATGCTAAACATTGCCGGCCCAGGAAGCACCAAAAGAAAGCTGATAAATGGAGTTTCCCAGTCGGTAGTAACCTAGACTGCCCCAATGTGGTGTAGTGTACTAAACACTGCGAAATACGCTAAGCTAATGGAGACTTCGCAAAGGCGAATGCTCCTCAGGGTGTCTAGTGTGTATAGGACAGTCTCGAATGAGGCTCTATGTAGGTACTCGAATGTAAGTTCAAGAAACTAGACTACTTCCTGTCGCAGTTTCTGACCGTACATGGTAGTTTTGGCACCTTCACAAATAGAATAGGCAAATCTGCCTCGGCAGACTGTACTGTTTGTGCTGTACCGGATGCTCCCGCCCACATTTTTAACTGTCAGAGATGGGCAAATGAGATGGGAGATTTCGAGAGGCGAATGGGTTTCAGGCTGGATGAAAGAAATATTGTAAACATAATGTTGAGAGGAGAGAAAGAATGGGGAGAAGTACACTGTCTGCTTTCTGGGGTGATGAAGAAAAAGGAGCAGCAGGACAGAGGAGGAAATTAAGCCAGGGATCTAAAAATTTACAGTTAATATTATTTATTAGTTTATGGCCCAACATTTTCTGATTTACGGTAATAGTTATGGTTATATATAAATTTTTAGTTTTTTATTTTAGTTGTTATTGAGTGACAAGACCACCTCTCTGGAACGGTGGTTAAGGTTTTAGCCGGAACACGGTTAATCCGACACTACCCTGGGGTCTTCTGGCCTAGTATCCCACTCGGCCGAAAGATACCAGGGTGTCTTGTTCCGTGACGTAGAGAAACCAAAAAAAGATTTCTCCCACCGTTGCCTGTCAGAAAAAAAAACACCCCTACAGAATTTTTATATCTTAAGACAATTTGACATATTATACATATAAGCAATTAGACCATATTTCAAATAATTGTCCAAATATCAACAGTATACCATTAACCACTCAGTCCCAAAATTCAACTATACCGAATCCTATCGAATTTCAACATCAAATTCGCAGTCTTCTATCGATATTGGAAGCCTAAAAAAGCGATAACATCAAAAAATAACACTGGGAGAGAAATTTGCCAAAGATATGGAATATGACCTCTATGGATCCCAAAAAAAGGTGTGGAAGATGATAAGGAGACAAAAAACAGAAATGAATGAATTTGTACGCATAGATAACATTACGGAGGAACAATGGACTGAGCATTTCACGAAATTATATGGAGAAGGAGAAGAGAACAGAGAAAGAATAATTAACGAAACCTACGATAGAGTACTAATATCAGAAGAAGAGCTACAAGAACGAATAAAAAAATTAAAAAACAGAAAAGCACCTGGTCCTGATAAAATAAACAATGAACTGCTAAAATATGGAGGAACAACACTAAACAAATGGCTCCTAAAATTATTCGTCGACATAATAAATATCGGAGTAGTACCAGCGGAATGAAAGGAAAGTCTCCTGCTACCGATACTTAAAAAGGGAAACTCGAGAAATCCTGAAAATTATAGATACATTAATCTGATGAATAGTACATTAACATTGTTAACGGCAGTCATAAAAGATAAAATCGAGGAAAAATCGAACAAGGCAGATGAACAACAAGGCTTCCCGAAGAACCGCAGCACAATAGACGCAATTTTTATTAGCAGACAAATAATAGAGAAGTCTATTGAACATGGAAAACCAGCATACATGTGCTTTGTAGATTTAAAAAGTGCTTTTGACAGGATGAAGCGAAATGACATCTTAAATTTATTACAAGCTGAACAAATAGACCATCAGATAATAAGGACAATTAATGAAATTAACAAGAGCAACAACACCACAGTTATAATGCTAATGAGCTATAATATTACTACCCATCAAAAATGATAATAAACTCAACTAACAGTCTGACACAGTGGAACAGGGGTACAAGTGCACTTGTACCTCTTCTCTTCCAAGCCCTACTCTTAGTTAGCTTGGAGGTTAAGTAACTTGCCGCTAGAACGCAGCACCTGTTAGACTTATCGCTTAGATTTCTTTACCTCCAAATAGAATGAGAGATTTTCAGTTCGGCGATGTAGTTATCTCAATATTTACAAAAATGTAACTTATACCCCTTTACTTATAGGGTCCTCAATTGATTAAATGCATCAATTTTAAGTAATTATATTACACGTGTTTAAACAAAAAACAAAGTTAACATTTATAAATTACTACAAAAAGAGGTGTTTTTTATAATTATCTCGGTCAAATGTATATGTATGTATTTATTTTGGAAGCTCAAAATAAAGAACTCTTTATAACCTACAACTTTTATTTAAAACATTTTTCTCTAGAATGTATAATAAACTTTTTATAGGCAAAAAGCTGTTTTTCACTTTTTAAGATTATTAAAAAAAAACAAAACAAAATAAGCTGTATGTCTTCACGGATTTTTCATCAGCTACCACTCATATACCTTCAAATATCTGTATCAGATTATTTTCAGCTTTTTTCCTTCATTGAGTGCGGTATTTACAACCACGAAATTTACATCTAGATGAATTAGGTTTATCATCGTGTATGAGCCAACGATGAAATCCATCTAGTCATACTTGTTTGACAGGGCGCGTTTCAACCACGGTACACTGACGGACTTTTTTTCTTCTAGTCGTTTTCATGCTTTTCAAAAAAAAACCTCTAAAACATATGCTCTGAAATGTAGAAAATCTAGAATTCTTTTCTTCTTAATTCCTGAAGCAGCAGCCTTTTTTTATACTCTAGCCAAGCATTGGCACACGATAAATCAATTTCATGGGTAAACATTTTTAGCATCCATGTTCTAATAGAAATTCTGTACAGCCTTATAAGGCCAACTCAACTTATCTACGCCTCCCATGTGTGTATTTTGTCCCACCAAGTGAATTCATCTTTTTTGCCAATGCCCATATGGTCACATGCCATTGTAACGGCTTTATTGTCAAACCATTTTGTCAGAATGGCATAATCGGTGTCTGACAAAAAAGGTGGCTTCTGGAACATATCAACTCTAGCCGTAATAGAAACGTAAATGCGCCTTTCTCTAAAATCCAGTGCTTCCACATAAAGTGAAGATTTTAATACCCCAACATATTGTTTTATGTTTATCTATCCCTTGAATGGTACCATCTTTTCATCTATGCAAAGATACATTTCTAAAGGCAAGGAAAGGCACTTTGTTCT